ATCTCAATATACATTATTAGAAATTACACTGTTTAGCAATTTTCCAGGACCTTCAACATTACAACGTCAAAAACCTGCTTATTAATATTTTGTTAGATAAAAAGTTTTTAAAGAAATTTGTGAGATGAAAGGCCCTGGCATAGCCTAGTGGTTAAAGTGCTCGACTTGCAACTTGTGGGTCACAGTCGTATCCCGTCATCTAACATGCTTGCCCTTTCAGCTGTAGCGGCGTTATAATGTGATGTTCAATCCCACTATTCGTTGGTAAAGAGTAACCCAAGAGTTGTCGGTGGGTGGTATTGACTAACAGCCTTACCTTATCGTCTATCACTCGGAGATGTCTAGCGCAGACAGCCACTGAGTAGCTTTGCGCGAAATTAAATAAAACTAATAAAACTGAATGGAAAGTGTTCTTGTTTTATTTTATAAGCTTTCTTTGAAACCTTTACAGTCTTTAACATTACACAGTTGAAAATAACTGGAACGTTTTTAATATCAGATAATTAGTATTAACTTCTGATCACAGCAAGCTACGCACTCCGAGCGAAACTAAAAATCCACCTGACAATCATTGTAGCTAAATAAATATACCCTTCTTACGTTTCTACTTATAAATATTTATAATACATTGTTTCATCAGGGTTGGGTATTCTTGATCATATTTAAAATAATATTCGTAGTTAAGAAAGAATGCCAACTACTTTACACAGGTTTTTCTAACGAGACACAAAACTCGAGCGTTTTCGAATAGTTCCCTATTCTTCTTCAGGATAATAAAGGGTTATGTTTAATGAGTTTAATGAAATATATAACATGGATGTCGATGTCACGTAAACCGGATGTTCAATATGAGTTAGCTTTGAGAAGTAGCCAATCATAACGTAGAGTTGTTGGTGTCAGATTTAGTTTATGCCAAAGAGGTGTGTACAGTACATAAAAGACTTAAGTGGGATAATAGTTATAAGAAATGTTAACCAATTTTTTTAAAGATTAAATTTAAAATATAAATAAAATAACGGCAAAAGATGGTGGGAAATAGAGAAAATGATAATATGACGCAATATTTAGGAAATAATACCAGTATAGAGAAATTAAAGTGTAAATAATACTAATAATGTAAAGTAAGTTTAATTATGAATTTAGTTTTGAAAATCTTTTCAGAGACATACGAAGGTCAACAATCCTGGGATCAAGATTGATGCCATTTGGCGTTACAGTTTTTAATAGTGCTATCCAGTAAGCTTCTTTAATTTCCCTGTTTCTGTTAGATGCAAAATTTGTCTCTATACCCGTCAGTTTAATGTCTTCAAGATAATGTCCAGGCATGTTAAAGTGTTTTGCGACTGGAAGTTATTTGTTTGTTTTGATTGTTGATTTCTGGTTATTAAAACGTACCCGTTTTGTTATTTTGGTTTTACCTACATATTGTAAGTTGAATTTTGGGCATTGGATTTAGCAAATAACGTTTTTCTTTTTTAGAGGTTATGGGTTTAGTGATTTTAAACTGCTTTTGGTTGTTTTTATCGGAAAATTTGCCCGTTTCCTGCATGAACTTATAGGTTTGGCATCGCTAGCTATTGCTAGGGTGACTTCCATCTGGTGTCGACTTAAAGTTGACTTTAGCTTGTACTAAATGAGAATGCAAAGTTATATTTTTCCTGAAAGAAACGACAGGAACTTCTGTAAAAATGGACTTTAGTCTATCTTAGTGATGTTGAAGGATGTAAAAGTGTTTCTTTAGTATCTAGAGTAGATTTCTTTTAGTTTAGGGTGATAGGTAATAACCAGTGGAACAAGAATTGGTTTTAAATAATTGTTTCGATGCAGATTCACGTGGTATGTTGTTATCTTTGTCAAGTTGTTGGGTGATAGTGTTTTGTTTATAACAGCTTTAAGTCATAGTTTGTTTCAAAGAATTAATGTGATTGTCATAGTTCTTACTGTCAGAGAATACCTTCTTTAATCTAAGGTAGATTTGGACCCCCAACCACAATTTGTTAAAATTATCGAAAATGTGTTATGTAGCTTACAGAAAAGCCAACACACCAGTCGTGAAACGTTACAGTTCCTTTTATCTAAACACCCAGTTCCAGATCGTTTTCATATGTTACTAAAAAATACACAAACTCAAAAATCCTGGTCGTCCTATTATTTCTAATTGCAGTATGCCTACTGAAAACTTATCTGCTTACGTTGATCACCACATCAAAGATACCCCCCCCCCCACCCTTTGACGACGTACTTAAAGACACAACACATTTTCTGAACATGATCTCTGACATTAATAGCAACGGAAAACTTCCTACAAACACAATTCTCTGTACTATGGATATTTCTTTTCTCTACACAAACATTCCCCATGACGAAGGCCTAAAAGACCTAGAATATTCTCTGCTAAAACTAGACAAACCCAACACTCAAATTATTACAGACCTGAACTAGTACTTACACTTAATGGTTTTGAATTTAATAATGAGTTCTATATTCAAACAAAGGGCACAGCTATGGGAACCAAGATGGCACCAAACTATACCAACATTTTTATCGGAGACTTAGAGACGACACTGTTGGAAAGTTGCACAGACAAACCAACGTTTTGAAGACGCTACATTGATGACATTTTTTTCATTTGGGTATGAGACAAAATGCCATTACTGTTCTTTTATAAACATGCTAATACCTTCCACGGTTCTATTAAATTTACTCTAGACTACTCCACTACCTAAGTAAGTTAAACATTAAAATATGGTTTTCTACGTATTGATTTGTACCAAAAACCAGCGGATAAACCACAATACTAACATAATCCAAGCTGTCACCTTCCACACACCAAATACAATATCTCATTCAATCAAGCACTTAGATTAAAGAAGATATGCTTTGACAGTAAGAACTATGATAGTCACATTAATTCTTTGAAACAGATTATGACTGAAAGGGGTTATAAAAAAACATTTTCACCCAACAATTTGACAAAGATAACAATATACCACATGAATCTGCCTTGAAAAAATTACCTAAAACAAAATTTTCTCGTGTTCCACTGGTTATTACCTATCACCCAAAACTAATAAACCTACCCCGAATACTAAAAAAAAAAACACTTTTACCTCTTTCAACTCAATGATAGTCTAAAATCCATTATTACAGAAGTTCCTGTCGTTTCTTTCAGAAAAAAATATAACTTTGCATTCACACCTAGTTCATGATAAAGTCAACTTTAAGTCGACACCAGGTGGAAGTCATCCTCACAATAACAAGCGATGCCTAACCTATAAGTTCATGCAGGAAACGGACAAATTTTCCGATAAATACAACCAAAAGCATTACAAAATCACTAAACCCATAACCTGCTCTACAAAAAACGTTATTTACTTAACCTAATGCCGAAAATGCAATTTCCAATATGTAGGTCAAACCAAAACAACTATACTGGAACGTTTTAAACTTATTAAATACTGTAACGCCAAATGGCATCAATTTCTATCCCGGGATTGTTGACCTTCGTATGTCTCTGAAAAGGTTTTCAAAACTAAATTCATAATTAAACTTACTTTATATTATTAGTTTCATTCATGCTTTAATTTCTCTATATTGTTATTATTTCCGATATATATAGCGTCACATTATCATTTTCTCTATTTCCCACCACCTTTTGCCGTTATTTTAGTTTTAGTTTTAATTTTAATATTGGTTAACATTTCTTATAACTATTATCCCACTTAAGTCTTTTATGTACTGTACACACCTCTTTGGCACAAACTAAACTGACACCATGTATCGTAAGTGTTTTTATCTTTCTGTTTCCATTAAGAATTCTTATATAGATTTTTGTCGCAGTTGTAAGGACTGAGTGTGCCAGGATGCAAATTGGAAGGTCCAAGGTTTACGCCTAGATACTGCTAAACACGCTTCGCATTTTTAGCTGTTGATGCCTTACAAAAGTGACAGACAATCCAATTATTCAGCTCAAAGCCCTTGTGACGACGGATATTACTGACTAGCTGCTTTCTTTCTCACCAGTAGTTCAAAATTAGGAACTGCTATATCTGAATCCTCGGGATCTCTGATTAGTCGTTTAGCACATGTATGCGCAAATTACCGTCAGAGGCATCACTAGGTGTTTAAAAGATTCAAGGCCCATAGGTGCGGGAATTTTCGACGTTTCAGTATGATATAAATCGTGGTTTTGTATTCTGATTTTTCAAGACACCAACTGGGGATTGGGGCACTGTCAAATATAATCGAGGCATGGGCCTCGTGGGCCAACACCTAACAATGTCTCTGGTTACTGGTCAGCCTGAAATTACCAAACTTAATTTTTTTAGTGTATCAGAAATCCCCCCTCAGTGGTTCAGCAGTAAGTCTAAAGGCTTATAACGCTAAAACCCAGGTTTCGATACTCGTAGTGTACACAGCACAGATAGCCCATTGCATAACTTTGTTAACAACAGACCAAACAAAAATATTCCGATATATATTAACTTGGGTAATCAAACATAACTCTGCTGTATATTTATGACCTGAAAAGCAGTTAATATTTATGTTTTTATTATATGTGTTATGTAAACAAAAAATTATTGATCTTCGTTTGAAAGTTCACTGTATTTTACTGAAGATAGGCTATTTATGTAATCATTAAAGTTCGATTCATTTCAGGTCTGTTTACTAATTATATCATAATAAATTAATATTTTGAAATTCGGTATGAAGTATTGTATTAGAAAGCATTACACAACTTTTTTTATGGAAAATATAAGTCTATAAAGGATAACAACAAAAAGAAACATTTTTTTTAAATGTGCTTTTGAATTGTGTTAAGTTCTCTCACATTTTTTTGCGAACATTTAATAATTATCAAGTTATTATTTTGTAAAATTTACATAACCACCCTCTTTAGTTTCACGTACGCCCTAGGGCTTTGTTTGTCACGTGCTGTGTTTACAACGGAAGGTTATGTTACTTGTATTGTAAAATAATTATTATTAATCACTTCAGATAGGCTTTACATTGTATTAAGTAATTATTGACAATCTATCGTCTATTGAAATTTTGGTAACTTGATCAAATAAAAATGAAAAATGATTTAACATTATGCAAAAGTGTGTAATACTAGTATTATTCTATACCAATACCTAAACTAGAGGTTGAGTAGAGTAGAACTAGAAGTTAACTAAGAACTTGTACTATTATTAATATTCATAAAGTCTTAAGGCGTTAGATTTAAGAAATTTATTGTATCAATGCATTAACTTTTTGTCATATTTAATAGTGTTCATGTAAAAATGTATCAAAATTAGGAAAATTACTCAGGAAAAGTGGGAGAACGCAGAAAATTTAATGCAGAACCCCCAAGAGCTTCTACTCAGTCTAGTTCCAGGGCACTAAGGCCAGTGCTGGACCCTGGTTGTAATGGGTACAACTGTGGAGCACATTCCCTCAGTCAAATGAACCTTGCCACTCCCATCCCCCCCCCCCTCACCTGTTTGATAGAGAGAATAGTATGACAATGGTATACAAACATAAATTGTGGGAGGGTAGGAGTCACTTTCAGCTTAGAAATTTAGATAGATCAAGTTTAACTTTTGAATGGGTTGCTTTTTGATGTGGTGGATCACTGGATTTGGTAAGTGTAAATGTGTTTATGGGAAGGTTTCATAAATATTTAAATTATCATGGCTGGATTTAATTTTCTTTTTTTTTTGATAAGAGGATGGGGCAGCTTTGATGGAGCAAGAGGTCCCTTATTTGTTAGTTATTGTCTATTAAATGTTATATTAAATTTTATCCTAAGGTAATTCAACTGTATTGAAATTAAAAGGGCATTTGTTTCATTGTCCCAAATTTAATGTGTGTGGTTAATATTCACCCAATTATTATTTATGAAAGCTCAGCAAAATATTTGTAAAGTCCAATGGAATAGTTTCTTTTTTTCTCCTTTTAAAGCAAATAATCAGATAATTATTTGGTATAGTTTTGACATCAAAGTTTCTCATCATATAAGAACACAGCAGTAAACTTTTGACCTAACCTAAGTTTGACAGTAAACTTGCAATGTGTGATTCAAATGTCTTATTTACAAGTGACTAAATTAGGCTAAATTATTTTGTAATCAATGGACTGTACCAAGTTTAAAGTTAAACTTGTAGGAATAAACTTGCAAGGTAAATAACTATGCTCAGAACAAATTACATACACAAAGCTACATAAATGAAGACTTTCATGAAATAATGTATCCCTATTATTTTTGAGAGGACATTGTGCCATTAGAAATGTTTCAGAGGAGGGCTGCTAGGATGATACATAAGATGGAAAATTTTCATAGGAGGATAGATTAAGGTCTATAAAATTGTTTTCTCTTGAAAAAAAAGAAAAGTTATAGGGAATCTGACTGATGTGTTTAAAGTTGTTAAGGGAATTAATAACGTTGATGCATTACCTTTTTTGTTGTCAATGGTGAGAATGATAGGACTAAAGGACACAAATATAAATTTTGGTAGGGGTAGCAGTCCTCTTTAGCTAAGATTGTTATTTTCTTAACAGGATTGTTGGCCTTTGGAATGGGTTACCTTGAGATATGGCAAATTTAACTGTAGGTCCACTAAATATTGTGGTAATCTATTCTTTTTTTGAACTGGAAAGGATCATTTCTTTATGTATAGAATATATGTAAGGACATAGTACATTACTTAACATAATGTTTAGGGGCAACAAGGGACCTTTTGGTCCATCTAGGCTGTCCTATCCTCTAAACTAAAGCTATTACAAAAAAAAAAAACTCAATGCTATATCATTCATATAGTTATTAAGCTTTCTCTTAAACTCACTTAAATTAGGGGGTCCCAGAGAATTATAGTTCTTGACCATGGAAGCATGTGAATGCGAAATTGCAGTTGTGAATACATAAATCTCACATAAACAAACTACTAATTATTGTACATCAAAAAACAAATAAAACGTCTACAGTACTAATACACACTGAATTTGCATGATTTATTTATTGTAAATCTGCTTTAAAAACATCTCGATGATTGCTAAACCCATCATTCACCATTTTTAGAGATCACTGAGTGAATGTTAAAACTAAAACCAGCATGTCTGTTCAAATTGGCTGGACCAATAAGAATCAATGATAGATCAAATGATGGCTCTCTTCATACTTTACTTTGGTATAGCCTGTTTCATTGGATCCGGAAGCATTTGCTATTTGAAAACACACAAACAAAATTTTAAAACCATTTAATATTCTCTTTAGGTATTTCATTTTTAGAAACAAGGACATACAATACATTTTGTGGTGTGTATTACATAATGCATAACTGGTTTGTTCAGTTTTGTGACCGGCATTTTGGTCTTTTAATAGACCAGGGACGGTCAGGTTCAAAAGACCTCTTCCTCCTTTCCGAACTATGGTTTTGATACTGTTGATTATTTATGTAGATATAACATGAGGGTCAGAGTAAACTGCACTTGCTCCGACCCCTTTCAGGGTAATGTCCATGTACGTATCTTCATTTACACTCGTGTGTTGTGCATAACATCATGTAATTCGGTGTTGTAAAGTCTTACATTTAGTGAACAGTTCCATATATGCATACAACACATTTCACATGTTTGAAACTAATATAATACATTTTACATTTTTTAAGGTCTAGTAATAGGTGGCCTTATTAAACCTTTATTTCTAAAATATATGTTTACAGGTGAGAGGTACTTAGGTCTACTTCCACCATGTATGTAGTAGCAGTCAAGTTCACAGAGTAGGTCATTCTTTTGCTAATATTTCTCAAAGTAATTTAGAGTATTATGCAAGAGTCTATTGGTTATAGTTTGTAGGTTTGCATAACTGTGCAAAAATTTTAATGAAGTGCTACGAGGGACTTTATATGCTGTGGTAATAAGTGAGTTTTGTATAGATTGTAGTTTATATGTTTGGGAGCTATGTTTTTCCATGTGGGGCATGCATATTCTATGATGGGAAATATATGTTTTGTATATTTTTATAATGTTGTCAGGTGATGTTCCCTGGTTTTTGCCTGTTAGACTTCTTGCATAATTTGTATGTTTCCAGATTTTTGTTAATATATTATTTGTATGTTTTACCCATGTTAGTTTTGGGTCGAAAGTTAATCCTAAACATTTTGCAGGGGTTTTGGTCTGGAGAAGTGTTCCATTCATGTATAATTTAAGTGTTCTTTTTTTATGTTTTGTTAGTCTTGTAAAAGTAAATAATTGGTCTTTAGTAACTTTATTTTTATTCGATATTGTTGGCATTATTCTTTTATATCATTTAATAATGGTTGTAGATTTGTTGCTGCTATGTATGGGGTGGGGGCACTTTTCCAAACCACAACATCATTTGCGAATTGTGGTGCAAATCCATGATTAGGGTCTTTTAAAGGCATATTGCTCAGATACGTTATGAATAGAATAGGACTAACTACCCCTCCTTGTGGGATGCCTGCCTCTGAGGTGAATGACTCAGAGTAGATTCCCCTGACATTTATTTTGCAATTTTTATTTTCCAAAAAGTTAGCCAGCCAGCAAATAATCACCCACGGTAGTTCCAATTCCATCATGCGTAACCTAAGACCATTGTGCCATACAGTGTCGAAAGCTTTCTCGACATCGAGAGAGCAGGCAACATTGCATTCATTTTTTATTAAAGCTATCTATAATTGTTTCTGTTAATCTAACCAAGTGATCTGTTGTCTGTCTGAATTTTCTAAATCCATTTTGTATTTCTGGTAATTTTGAGGTTGCTTCTAGGTAATTTGAGAGTCTTCTGCTTATTATTCGTATTTTTCCTACCACTGGTCAGGCTGATCGGGCGGTAGTTGTTTGGTTTATTTGCTGGCTTTCCTTCTTTATGGAACATTAGTATGATTGCTTGCTTCCAAAAAACCAGGATGTATCCAGAACTTAGTGATAAATTAAAAAGTGCTGTGAGGTGTCCATACAGTCTCTGAGTGCCTTTTTTGAGGCAGATAGCCTGTATGCTGTCTTCTTCTGGTGCTTGGTTTTTTAGTAACTTTTATAGCTAATTTTACTTCCATTTCTGTGATTGTTTTAGTGAGTGGATATGTAATTGTGTTTTCTGTTTCATCAAATCTCATTATTGTATTTTGTATGTTAACTGGAAATTTTGGTGTGTACATGGTTCTGTTTAGCTTAATGTGGTTGTTAACTTTTTTGAAAAAGTGTACATTCATGTCTGGTTCTTGGTGTGTTTTGAATGTTTTGTAGGTATTCTTTAAATACATTGGCCTTTTCAGTGTTTGTGTATGCTGTCTTATTTTGTGTTTCTAAAGGTGGGTAGTTACTGTTAGGGCTTCCTGTGTTGGTGAATTTTTTGATGGGGTTCCAGAACTGTTTTGAGTCAGTTTTATCATTTAGTTGTGAGCAGAAATTATCCCAGCTTTCTTGTTTTAGTTGTCGGACTTCATCTTCTTTTTTTTTTTTTTTTTCCAGTATGTTTGTTTGTGTTTTAGGTGCTGGATCTCGGGTTTGTATGAATTGTCTGCATAGTTTCCTTCTGTCTTTTATAATTTTTATAATTTGTGAGTGAAATTGCCATGTGTGTGTTGTTAGTGGTTGTTTATGCTTGGGTATAGTTTGTTTTGCCGATGTTTTTAGACACTCGGTGATTGTATGGCAATAAGCATCTGTCAAGGATTGATTGGTAGTATAACCAGTTTGCTTTTTCATAGTTAAATTTTTTGGTTGCTACTGATTTATTTGTATGGGGGGGGATTGAACATACACCAGACAGGTAAATGGTCACTATCAATATCGTGTTGTACTTGAAAAGTCACAATTCATATTAAATGAACACAGGCATTTATAAACTGGTACATAGATATGTCTGCCCAATTCGAACCAACAGCATGTCAAAAAATGAAGAATGGTGATTGTAAACAGCCTATGTATTGTTCTGGAAACAGTCTGCTTTACATCATATCATCAAGCATAAACAGACAATATATGTCGTATCGTTGGGTATGGCTACATTGAAAGAACACGTGCTACAGTAGTTGATGATGAAAGTGGTATGAATGATGTATCAAATACATCATGACATGACATAGAATGAGATGAGGTTACTACTGTTACGTATCTGTCAGTCATGGCATATTAAGTTTACAACCAATGTGATTACAAAATCTTTTCTATTCTTTCATAGGTACATAGATTAGCTCATACTTCGTTACTAACATTTGGTTATTGACAGTTTTCATTTCACTTATCCAAATAATATGAATACACGTGTACGAGTTTGAAATTGATGGACTTTATTGGGACTACATTTTATTTTGCATTGACAAGGGGTGTCTCACATCATCATGCTACAAGGTAAAGTGATAAGTCTGATATTTTGCAACATTTGTATCAATGGGTAGGTAGCTTGGAGTGAAATATTGATTTACAGGTATGATTTTTAATTATGAACTGCATAATTGAACTTTTAGTGAAATCTACTAACTTGTGACTGTGGAACCCAATATTGTGTGAATGTTTTTGTTATTTTCCTGATTTAAAAATCACCGAAACCCTTTACTTAAATTTATTACCTCCACAACATTCTAAGGCAAGCCATTCCAAAAGCCAACTATCATGTTAGGAAATAAATGCCTGGGTTTGCCTATTACAGAGTTTATTTATTTGATCTTTTTCATTTTTGGTGAAGTACCACTTTTTTTTCAATTGGAATATAAAAAAAGCCACCTTCATGTCATTTTCAGATGGTTAGAATATCTATAGACACAACAAAGTGATGGCATCTTATAGAATGAAAATCCAAATTTTTCCCTTTAACTTCAAATTGATCTATTATTAAATAATATTTGCTTTGTGTGAATACTTACTTACTTAATCCTGTAGACTCCCAGTGGAGCATAGGGCCGCGACAACACATCACCAAGGACTCTGTTCTGGGCTGCTGACTATAGTCACATCGCATATAAGCTAGTTCTCTAACCATTATATTATACGAGTATCGAAAGCCGGTTTTTAGCGGTGTAAGCCATCAGACTTACCTCTGAGCCACTGGAATACATTATTCTCAGCCTCTTTTTTTGTTGTAAGTTGGGTGGTTGCTGGTACTGACATATGAATACAATATTTAATATATATAGAACTGTATAAAAGACACTTAGGTTTTGTTGACAACAGTTTTTATTGTGTCCTTCTTTCTTTTTTCTTGATTCTTCATATAAAGGATGTTATGGCTGCATTCATTTGTTCTCCAGTCCAAAGTCGTCTAAAAACCAAGACAAAAGACAGGAATAATCTATAAGAAAAACTTTTGTCAACATGTGATATATGTTGCGTAAATCGTCGTCGAAACGTTGGCTCTTTCACGCTTTAACTTATAGTTAGGTTGTTCTCTCATGCACAAATATTTTAAATTTAGTGTTTAATAATTCCTGCAAGACAGAAACGATCACGAAATGAAGTGAAAAATCAAGTTACCTCATCATAAGCTATACGGAAGATTTTTTTGGAAAATTTAAGTGATACTGAATTCAGACCTATTTTGAGAGATAATTTTTTTTAAGTTGTTCGTAGTCAAAATTATAAAGCTATATATGTATGTATATACAGATGTCTAGACCGACGTGTGACTTCCAGATATTACTCAATAGTTTAATGTATTTTCAGCTGTTGAACTAAACAATTATCCTAATTTTACAGTAAATGTGGGACTACCACACAACAACTTGATGACATCTTACAAAAAAAAACACCACTAGTATATCATCAGTATCAGGTCTTATAACTTGTGAATGTAATAACATAAGTACGTGTATGTTGACTCTCAATAAACAAATATTACATACAATATATTTAGCACCTGTTGTTTTTAGGATTATTGTTTGAATCTGTGTTTCGTATATTTCTATCAGAATAAGGTAGTTAAGTAGAATGGATTACTTACATTCTAATGACTTTGTGAATTAAGTTAGGTTAACTGTACCTTCACATCCTAAACATCAGGTGGCCAGAGAAGATCTCAAACACAGAGCTATGGAAAAGGACCAACCAAAACCCAGTCAGCCAAGACATCAGCAAAAGAAAATGGGGCTGGATCGGACACACACTGCGAAAACCAGTTGACAACGTTACAAGGCAGGCCTTGGACTGGAACCCACAAGGGAAAAGAAAAGCTGGGAGGCCAAAACAGACGTGGAGGAGATCGGTCGGGAGTGAAGCGAAGGCCGCCGGAATGGCGTGGACCCAGCTGAGGAGAATGTAATGTTAAACTAATGATTAATCAGTTCACAGCCCCATCCTTTGTCGGAAAAGGTCACCTAGAGAAGATGTAGCATACATGCTGCATCTCACAGTATTTGTAACGAATATTGTCATCAGTATACTGTAAGAATGCATTTCTTCTGAGCATTAATAAATGTATAATACACACATCTTCTATAAAACAATGCCAATATAGCTACCTTAGCCAGTCTCCTGACCACGCTAGCACTCGAATATAGTCTTACTGATCATTAATACGTCTCTCTCTGACCGTAGTTTAATTACTCATTACCTTCACACACATTACCGCGTCACGTTGTCCCCCTCTTATATATACCAGACTACCCCATCTAGTAAATACTAGAGCATTCATGAAGGAACAAGATAGTTCTAGAAACTAGAGGGCGCCACACCAGTCACGTGACCTCGATGACGCAACAGTATGTTTTACCATGCATGCTTTTCTTAATCGCTGTTCGTAATACATCGAATCTGTTTCTTTTGC